TTTTAATTTTTAGAGGAACTACCATATTGTTTTCCATAGAGGCTGCACCATTTTACATTCCCACCAACAAAGCACAAGGCTTACAGTTTCTCCACATCAAGGTAATACCTCCTCATATGTGTGGTGGTGTCTCAATGTGGTTTTGATTTGCATTTTCCTAATGGTTAGTGATGTTGAGCATCTTTTCATGTACTCATTGGTTATTTGTAGAAATGGCTATTCAAAGCCTTTTCCCATTTTTTAAATTGGGTTGTTTAATTTTTCTTGTTGTTGAGTTATAGGAGTTCTTTATATATTTTGGATATTAATCCACTCATCTGATATATGCTTTGCAATATTTTCTCCTGTTCTTTGAGTTGCCTTTTCACTTTGTTGATAGTGTTCCTTGATTAACAGAAGTTTTTAATTTTGGTGTAGTTCAATTTATCTGTCTTTTGTCCTTGTATTTTTGGTGTCATATAAAAAAATCTGCAAAATATAATGTCATGAACCTTTTTTCCTGTTTTCTTCCAAGAGTTTTACAGTTTTAGCTCCTATGTTTAGGTCTTTGATACATTTTGAGTTGATTTTTGTGTATGATGTAAGGTAAGAGTCCAGCCTCACTCATTTGCATGTGGATATCCAGTTTTCCCAGCACCGTGTGTTGAAAAGACTGTCCTTTCCTCATTGAATGATCTTGTTACCTTTTTAAAAATCATTTGAGAGTTTATTTCTAGGCTCTCTGTTCTATTCCATTTGTCTGTAACTCTGTCTTTATGCAAGTACCACACCATTTTGATTACTGTTGCTTTGCAGTTTTTAAATCAGGAAGTATGAGATTTCCAACTTTGTTCTTCTTTTTGAAAATTGTTTTGGCTATTCTGAGTCCCTTGAGATTTCAAATGAATTTTAGGATGGATTTTTCCATTTCTGAAAACAGTGTCACAGGGATTTTGATAGAGATTCCATAGAATATATAGTTTGCAGTAGTATTGACATATTAACAATATTAAATATTGCAATCTATGAACATGAGATGTCTTTCCTTTATTTGTGTCTTCTTTGATTTATTTCAGCCATTTTGGTAGTTTTTGGTATACAAGTTAATTCCTAAGTATTATATTTCTGATGCTATTGAAATAGAACTGGTATTTTTGTTTGTTTGTTTGTTTTTCTGAGGAAAATTGGCCCTGAGCTAACATCTGTGCCAGTCTTCCTCTATTTTGTATGTGGATCACCGCCACAGCATGACTGATGAACAGTGTAGGTCCATGCCTGGGATCCGAACTCACCAACCGAGGCCACCAAAGTGGAGTGCAGCGATCTTCACCACTACACCACTGGGCTGGCCTGAGAAATGTTTTCTTAATTTCCTTTTCAGATTGTTCTAGTGTGTAGAAACACAACTGATTTTTGCATGCCAATTTTGTATCCTGTAACTTTGCTGAGGTTGTTTATTAGGTCAAATAGGTTTCTTGTGGAATCTTTAGGGTTTTCTACATATAAGATCATACCATCTGTGGACAAGAATAGCATTACTTTTTCTTTCCAATTTGAATTCCCTTTCTTTTTCTTGCCTAAGTGATCTGGGTAAGATTTCCAATATTTTGTTAAATAGAAGCAAAGATAGTAGTCATCCTTATCTTGTTTCTGATCTTAGAGGAAAAGCTTTCAGTCTTTTACCATTGAATATGATGTTGACTGTGGATGCTCCTGAAGGCCCTTTATCAAATTGAGGAACTTCCATTCTATTCCTAGTTTTTTAGTGTTTTTATTAACATTAAATACAAATTTATTATATTATGCACTACCAAACATGGTTTCTAAGTGATGTGAGAGGGAATTATCAAAAACACAACACACTTTTGGCTTTCATGGAATGTATAATCTACTTGAATATAAATCTGGTACATATGAAAATATAGCTAGTACCCAATGACTGAATGTAGTAAGTGTCAGATGGATGATACAGATTTGTTATGTGTGAAGTGGGTGTGAAGTGATATCTCATTGTAGTTTTGATTTGCATTTCTCTAATAATTACTAATGTTAAACACCTTTTCATATGTTTGGTCCTAGGTTTGTGTTTTTTTTCTGATTCTTCTGTATACTTGGCTGGCTTTGAATATCTTATTTCCCTAAGTCTCACACTGCTTCTTTTTTGGGTCTTAGGTGTTCTATTGTATTCCTCAATCACTAATCTCTTGCCCCAGACATCTGTGGGTCTGTAATCACCTTGTGGTTTTCGGGAATGTGCCCAAGGCATCCCCTAGGCTGAGATTTGAACTAACTCTAAATCTTCAACAGAGAGACCAATCCCTGGGGTGGCCATCAGACAGGTAGCCAATTCAGTCAGCTCTGCCCTCTCTGGTTGTTGGGATAGAACTGAGCACTAGGCTGCTGCTTCTCCGAAGGTTCATGGCTCTGTATTGGAGGAGGGCTGGGGCAAGGGTGAATAAAAGTTCCACAGATTTCCTACATTTTGAACATGACTTTCTCTTCTTTGGGTGTTCATTTGGTTCCTGTTGATCTTTGACTGATTTCTAGAGCTCCTACAAAGTTCTTTTAGCCAGTCTCTAGTTGTTTGTTTAATGTTTCCATAAGGGAATGGGGGGCGGGGGCTGGAGCTTCCTAGTGCGCCATCTTGCTGAAGTCACTCTCAGTGTATTACAGTTTGATGTTTATTTGAGCACTTTTTTGTGGCTCAATAAAAATGACGTTAGTTGGACATTTGTATTTTGTCTTTTGTGCCTATTTTTACATTAGGTTTCTGTCCTTTTCTCATTGATTTATATGAATTGTTTATATATTCTGAATAATAGTCCTCTGTTGGTTATGTAACTGCAACTGTTTCCCAATTTTGTTGCTTGACTATTTTACTTTCATGATTTTTTTTATTAAGTTCTTAATTTTAATACCAAATAGATCAAATGTTTTCTGTTGTTAGTCATTTCCCTTAAGAAATTATTCATTGTCCAAAATTCATGAAGATTTTTTTCCTGTACTTGTTTATCATTTCTTTATATGTCACTACTGATCAGTCACCAGTGCTCTTTTTCTCTTCTTATTGAAATTATCAAGATTTAATCAGGCTGCTCTCATAACTGTAGCTGGGAGATGTTCTGCTCAGTGAGACTCAACCCTGGAAGACACCTTTGCTAATCTTGTACTTTAAATTTACAATTTAGCATTTTTCCTCAACTCCACTTAAAAGAGAACAAAATATTTTAAGAAATATCCTAAGAGAGAGTGCTACAGATAAGGACTCTGTGGTATTACACATGCTGTATTATGAAAGTTTGTTAGTCTAAGAATATTTATTAGAAGATCCTATTTATTTAAACTGGGTTTAGATGATTTTATTCCAGTATCAGTTCTGTTTGAGACACTAAATATAAAGTATGTGTGTAAAGACTGCACACAGATTTCTCTTTTCCATGTGTAATGATTTAACACTTTCAATACCTATGCACAGTATTTACATATTTGTGCTTCAATAAGTACTAATATATGTTTTGAGAGAAAGTGTAACATGATCACACAACTTTGAGAGACATTATATTACATCATTAGAATTTTACCACATGCATTGCCACTTTAAACACTCCTGTTATCACTGCGGTAAGTAAATCTATTTTGCTTTGTTTAATCAATATTTTTTTCTATCTGAAACATTAATCCCCAAACAAAATGCCTATTAAAACTTGAGGAAATCTGTGGAAACTAGAATGGAAAATACTTTCTCTGAGTAACGGGTTAAAATATTTCCCAGTTTGAAAAAATATATTTTAAAAAGAATGATATGAAATTAATTAATATAATATGACCCAAATCCAAACAGTGACATGTATTATTGAATCACGGTGCTAGAAAAAAAATTTTGGTGGTCCATAATAACCATGCCTTAGATGTGCTATTAACATCTTTGTGAATCCTTGGCTGACTGCATTTGCAGTAGGAAAAGGAGGAGCAAGATAATCAGAGACCCCAGCCTAATTAGAGGGCTTGGTGGCATGCCCTACCCCAAATGGAAGAAGCAGGTAGAGTCAGTGTTCCCACAGTGCACAGGGTTAAACATTTATTGAGCGCCTGTGATAAACACCCTGGATGCTTTTTCATCTAGGTCATCTGATTTCAATAATAGTACATACTTGGTTATTATTGTACCTGTTTTACAAATAAGAAAGCTAGAACTAAGAGAATTGACTACTTTATCTAGGATCCCAAAGTTAATCAATGACAGAGAGTGTATTTGACCTTGGTTTCTTTCTACCTTTCTGTCATGGGTAGGTAGCTGTGGTAACATATTCATGATGTACAATATCCTTAGTTTAGGGATGATCAAACTGAGTTAAGTTAAGTAATTTTTCCAATATTACACATTTAGCAAGTGATAGAAATAGGACTTGAAATCAGGAGATTATTAGAAATAAGCTGCAAGTCTTTTCTATATTTGGGGCTATCTTTATACATCTAAGGCATGGTAATTATGGTCCATCTGATAGTTACATTTGGTTCCACCTATGGTCTTGACCTCTTCAGCTTCTGCTGTAACATACAGTATGGCCCAGTCAGCTGTCTAAACTCAACAGTATGTCATCAGTAAAACTATTTTCTGTTGCACTCTTGGTCTAGGCCAGCATCAGAGTGAAAAGTTAAAGCTTTTTACTTATATGAGGTATTGAGAGTAGTCAAACTCATAGAAACAAATAGTACACTGGTAGCTGCCAGGGGTTGGGGAGGGGAAATGGGGAAGTGTTTAATGGGTAGAGAGTTGTAATTTTTCCCAGATGAAAAAATTCTAGAGATTAGTTGTACAATAATGTGAATATCTTGAACACTACTGAACTGTACACTTAAAAATGGTAAATTTTATATTGTGTGTATTTTACCACAATTAAAAACAAAAAAAATTTAAACAAAGAAAAAAGAATCTTCTTTGAAAATTTATTCTCCATGTAAAGTTAACTTACATGGCATTTGAGGAAACTGTTACTTATTAGATTATTCTTTATTCACAGTGATCTGCAGCCCTGGATCTTATAATCCCCGTGATGGAATTCACTGCCTTCAGTGCAATAGCAGCCTGGTGTATGGAGCAAAAGCATGCTTATAGGCCATTATTTTGAGTTCTTTGGTGGTTTATTAAACACAAAAGTATATTTTTGAAATATTAATATACAATAAATCACTATTATGCCAAAATTAAATATATTAGATTTTACAAAAAGATGGTGTCATCATTTTAATTGAAACGTTGTATGCCAAAATGCTTTATGAATGGAACATCCAGTAATCTTTATTTGTTAATGCCAGACCCACATATGACTCCAAAATATCTCTAGGATCACTGCTTTTTAAAAATAGTTTCAAATATACTTTGTCAGGTTAGCCCAAAAGATTTTTCAGGATTTTTTGAAAATAGCCCATTTTATCTTTACTATATGTTGACTAATCTCAGGCCACCATATTCTTCCACAGTCGTTTTAATTTCAGCTTGTTTCATTCCTTTGATTTAATTTTATGGAATTTTATTTCTTCTAGTTTGACCTTTCGTAGTTCAAAGTCACTTTTTTGAAAGCCTGCGAGTCTTATTATTGGGATTTTTAGCAACTGTAGTGCAAGGCCTAGTCCCAACAATACCATGGGTGTTGAATATAGTTGAGTGTGGCTAAATCTTAAACTTTATGGTTTAAAGTCCTTTAAATTACCTTTTGACATTTTAGAGTAGAGTGATCATTGTATGTGCCCGAATTAACATTTGAACTTTTACAATGTGGAGAGAAGAAGAAACTAAGCAATTTCTTTCCCTAACAACACCTCTAGGGAAAAGAATCAATCATCACAACTCTTGTTTCATTTCCTTCATTATTAAAGTATTATGTGACAGATACTACTGCCACTACCACCTAATACATACCCTCTCTCACACTGAGATGCTATTGAAAAATTAACAAAAATTCAAGGATTTAAGTACCAGGAAAATACATGAGTAACTTAGAAAATTAGTAGTTTCTCAATTTTCTAATTATTGTTGTATTTATATTTGTATTCACTTTATATTCTCTTGGACATTCTCTGTTTTTCTCTTCATATTTCCTTTCTTAAGACGTAAACATTTGTAAATGGCAAATATACAGAGGTTGAATCTAGACACAACTGTGCGACACATGGACAGCAAAAAAGTTTACTTATACCTAGCATCAATTAGCCTCTCATTTGGTCATCCTATGGACAAATACTACCCTGGAATTCTCACATAAATACAAAGGGAGAAGAAACGATATTTCTTTGTTAGCCCTGGTGATGTTTCTTAAAAAATCTCTTTGGATTTGCGTGTCATGACATAATAGTTTTCATTTGGTTTTTAGAAGTTTTTCAAGAGTCTTCTTTCCTCTAGTTAGTAATGTATTTGCCATTATACTGTTTGAGTGAGCTATTCCTCTAGCATATGTTTTCTGTAACTAGTAAAACACCTACTAAGGCTCCATCTCCAAAAGCAGTGTGACCTCCTCAAGTTTCCCAAATTTCTTAATTGTATAGTAAGATGAATTGAAATACATATTCTGTCCTTGGTGCTCTTAAGTTTGGATTGCTTTTTCCTGTCATTTAAAAATGATGAGGAATTTAACTTAAGATACATTTTTCTGAGGCATGAACAGTATTAGCTCACTAGCTAGTCAGCCTGGCAAAGCAGAGGCAGACTTAGAATAGTGGTGACAGGTATTGGATATGAGAATCTGATCAGGATGAGATAGGTGGTCTGGGCTGAGGGTAGACAGACAAGAGTAGGAGAGTGATTACAGTAAGGTGTGGGATGCAGCTTGTGAAGGCAGGCTGAAAGTAGGACCACACAAACTGCAGAGGGCAGGACAGGGTCAGACTTCCTGCCTGTGCAGGCAAGGAGAACAGTTTGTAAAAATGGGAGCAGAGGACAAAATGCGAAAAGAGAGAGAAGTATTAATTACTACTTTCTCTTGGTTCCCATAGTGAAATGTTCTTTGCCCTATTTTATCACTTGTCACATTTATTTTAATTGATTGTTTGTCTGTCTTCCACATTTAGTTATACTAGGGTATTTCTAGTTTCCTAATCCTCTTCGTAGCACATAGTTATGTGCTTAATAATTTCTTAAATTAATTAATAGATTATGAAGGTGTCATGAGTATCAGGACTTCAATAACTAAGATAAAAATTGTTTCTATTATATTGACAGATAGAACGTAGAATGTTGAAAGTTGTTTAAAGTGATGACAGTATGTATGATAAAAATTATAAACTAATCCCTAAGAGAGATTATTGTCATAAGGCAGTTTTAAGTGTTTATTATTTTTGTTTGCATCAAAATAATATCTTACATTTATATAATGCCTTAATTTTAACAAAACGTTTTCTAAAAATAATAGGATCTGATGTTTATGTGGACTTGTGAAGTTAAAGGGCAAATATAATTCCCATTTTGTATTTTATTAGATTTGTTTTCTCATTATAAATGTGTAATATGTATTCATTTGGCAATATGTAAAAAGAACCTTAATAAGTTTGGTCAAGTAATTTCACTTAAAGGAAGCTATCCTAAGAACGTAAATCAGAAATCCTGTGAAATATTACATCCAATGGTATTAATTGGTACATTAAATATAGTAATGAAAATGAAATGAACGTAAATGACCTATGAGAGTGAAATGGTTAAATAAATAATGCTATTTCCATACGATACAATGTTATGTAGTACTGGTATCTGTACTGTTTAGATTTTTCAAACAGAGGAACCAAAATGTTAACAGTGGTTGTTTCATGTAACAGGATCATGTGTCGGGTTTTTTTGATACCCTCTGTTTTCCAAATTTTCTACAATGAAATGAATTACTTTCAAAATCTTGGATGCAATAAACATACTTTGAAAAATTAAAATAGTAACAATTTGGAGAAGACATCATTGCTCACCTCTTCAACGTCAACTCACTTCCCCCTTCTTCCTAACAGAGCACTAGGTTTGTTTACTCCAGAGAATGATTCTTTTTAGCTAGTCAGCACTTGGCTCTCTTCTGGCAACTGCTTTGTTGAAACCATGAGGATGAAGCCCACACTGAGGACACAGAGTGAAGAGATCAAAAGAACTGGGGCCCCGATGATGATATTGAATCACTTATTGTGTCTGAATCCCAGCCTGCCCTGGACTTCCCGGTTCTGTGAGATAAGAAAGTTCCTTTTGTTGAAGCAAGTTGGGTTTTTCTGTTGCTTGCAGCTAAAAGCATCCTAATCGATAGAGTATTCCTTAGAGGAAATTTGTGAAATAGAGGAAATTAGAAGTAGAGGGAAAATACCACTTTTAGTTTCATAACTCAGATATCAGCAATGTTAACATTTTGGTAAATTTCCTACTTTTGAGTGAATTTTTTATTCATGCTAAATGTACCATTAGCAGACAGTATTTCCCTTAATATTATGATATATTTTCCATACTATGTTATTTACCTCATCAATAGAATTTTAGTGACTATGACATTTGATACATTTCAGCAAAATAACTATAATATGCTTAAGCATTTCTAATTGTTAGACATTTCTAAGGCTTCCAGTTTTCAATGTTATATGTAGCATTTGAGTTAACATCTTCTTTCTTGATATTATGTGTTATTTTTATGTCTTCTCTATGCTAAGTACTCAGAAGTAGAATTACAGGATTTGGATATTTCTAATCCTCTGGACCGTTTGCCAAATTTCTTTCCTAAAGAATTGTACCAGTATATAGTCCCATCAATATGTCAGAGTACATATTTCACTGCACCCTCTCTGATATCTTTTTTTATTTTGGAATATTATAATATGGAAAAAGTTTCCCATATTATATTTTCATTTTTTTGAGTACTGGTGAGGTTGAACTTTTCCTCATGTAATAATGCTGCTGCTGTTGCTGATGGTAGTTATTTACTGAGTGCTTATTATATCAAAGGTTTTGTTTGAAACCCTTCACATAGATTTTCATATTTGATTTGGCCAACTCTGTGATTTATTATTATTATTCTCATTTCATATGTGAGAAAAATGAATCACAATAATTATGTAACTTCCCCAGGTTTACACAGCTGGTAAGTGTGAAGATGTGTGTCAGTTATGACTTGGCTCTGCTGCGAGTTAGAGAGCCCTGACTCCGTGGTTGCTGTTCTCCCTCACGTCCAGCAGAGGATAGGTCAGAGCTGTGCCAGGGCTCCACAGCACTGTCCTTACCTTGGCCACTTGTCCTTTTCGCTCCACCCTCCTTTGGCAGCTTTTGTCCTCACGGTCACAGGTGGTAGCTGTGCTTCCAGGCGTTAAATTTAACTTCCATTCAGAAAAAGGATGAAAATGAAAACCCCGTACAAGACTTTGACATTATATTGAATGGAATAATGTCACAAGGCCACCTGACACTGTAAGAGAGGGTGGAAATTGATGCATTCATTTTTGATTCTCATTAATAGAGAAAAGAGGTCAATAAGGGGCATGGACTTGGAATGGGTATTGAGAGGGCCGTGTCTTTATCTTATACAGATCATCTCTTTAACTAAGTCGGCATCAATACAAACCCGTCACATTAATAAGCTCTACATGTAATGTGCTCCTTCTCTCTCCTGTGTAATACAACCTCAAACTCTCATCCAGTTACTGCATCCAGGTTGAAGTTCAGAATCATAGGAGATGTGTAAAAGCTTACATCAGGTCCAGGGTCCCTGTGGTCTAGACAGTTTATCTGCCTCCAACCTATCCAATATAAAATGAGTGAGAAGGAAGAGAATAATTTAAAACACCCATTCAGAAAAGAGAGGAAAGAGAAACTCATCCCAGTCACTCATGCTGAATGAGATATTCCTGCTATCAGATGGGTATACATTTTTTGATTGGTCCCTCGTTCAAACCTCTGTGCTTATGTTCCTTATCCAATATATTCCACTTTCTGGAAACTGCACCGTAGTTTCAGTTCATTCTCTGTTAGAAGTCAGGGGCCCAGGACACTCAGGCTGTCACTGGTCATATTTGGAAATCCAAGGGGAAGTACAGTTCTCTTGTGTTGTATTGTGTCATCGTGGTCAAACATGGTGACAAAAGATGCAGAGGTCCTTCAAGGGCCCCAGCTTGCACTCGCTGTCCTCTGCTCTGCATCAGACTTGCCCCTGGGATTGCTGGCTCTGCAGACCGATAGTGACCTCAGGCACACCACCTGCTGCTTGATACACAGAGAATG